CAGAATGCCTTTCCCATGTGTCCCCTGCTCTGCTGATGTATGCACAGCGGGACTTGCTTACTGGTGCTTTTGTGTATTCTAGGGATTTTTTTTTTTTTCCTGCATAAGATGTTCATAAAGTTTGCATGACTTTTAAGTGCTTCCCTCTGCTCCCATCCAGATGTGCTGCCCCAGTCCTGCCTTCATTTCCTACATAATGCATTTGTCCTCACTCCTCCCTACTGCACGATTACACCTCTTCATTGCACTTTTGATTTATCTGTCTTGCATTGCATCCTCAGCCCCCTTCTCTGTACTGACTTTAGCTTCCTTTCACGCTCACCCAGCCCTCACAGCCTAACGAAATCTGCCTTTTTCCCTTAGAGCACCGATAGTAGCCTACATCTGGTCTTCTTTCTTTTCCAGCCAGGTTCCCAGGAAGTGCTCTGCCTTGCTGGCCTTGTACTACCCCTTGCCTCCTTTATGCTTTCCCTGTGGTTTTGACCTCTGGAGCCCTCTGAGGTGGTTTTGACCTCTGGAGCCCTCCGACCATGCTCTCAGAGAAAAGGATGTCCTTATCAACCCATGGGGGGAATGTCCCCGTTCCCATGACCGCCAAACCTCATGCTCTCCCCTTATTCTATCCTGTGAATTTGATATCATCATCCACAATTTCTGTGTGAGATTCTCTCAGCTCGAGTTGCCCAGCACTTCATTTCACAGGTCTCTTCATATCTCTTGGGCTCCGTCCTTGTTTCTTCTCATTTCTAGCTCACCCATAAATACAGCAATTATCCAGGCTTCTGATGTCAGACCTCTTCTCTCCACAACATGTTCTCTTTGGCTGATCATTTATTTACTTTTGTAAAAACAGCTCTTACTATGTTATTCCCAGATCTCTGCCTCTAGCCCAGACCTCTCTCTAGGGAAAGCAAAGAATGTGGATATATACTTCACGCATCTAATTTTCAGATTGCTGTGTAATCTTAGTAATGATTTTAAATGGTTCTGTAATGTTATGCTAACTGGCTATGCCATAATTAACCCCACACTTTGCTATTGAAAATTACTTGTCCTGGTTCTCTAGCTGCAGTTCACAGTTCCATACGTGCGTATTGAGTCTGAGGTTCTCTGGAATGGAAAGTGAAAAGACTTTTTTTCTCCCTCTTAGACTAGCTCAGTACTCCCATATAAAGACAGGAAACCTCTGCAGAATCCTTGGCACTCTCTGTAGGCTTTTTTGTTTTGAATCTGTTAAGCCACTCTGACTATCCAAGCAGCCCTTTTGCTCTGACACAGTCACTGCCCGACAGAGCCTTCTGATGTTCCTCGGCTCCTCACCAGCACCATCCCCCTTCCAAGCACCCACCATAGAGACCCAACAAAATCCAGAAAGAATGAATGCAGCTGGGAAAAGACTTAGAATGGCTCTCGAGGGACTGCCCCACCTTATTCTCATGCTCTTAGCCAAGGCAAAAGTCTTGAGAACTTGAGAGGCAGACAGTTTCAGCCTTCAGAATAACATTCTGTCAGTGACAGAAGTGGTTTTAAGCATAGACGTTAATGATATCATAAATTCATTATAACAAGAGCTCAAACTTGACAAAATGAAATTAGATGAAATGGGAATTAGGAAACTAAGGGAATAGAAGAACAAACAGCACTACTCCAAAGCTAATAAATAAAATCAAAACAGAAAAGAACTTAAGGGCTTGAAAATGAAATTGTTAGCATAAGGGAAAAACTTTAGGGAATTAAAAGCAAAACAAAATACAATCCAGACAGAGTAGAGATGAAAGCAATTTAAATCATCATCAGCATGAACCACAGTAAACAACTGATTGGCATTAAAAAAGAATCTATCCTAAAGAAAAAATTTACAAGAAAATATGTTGGAAGATACAACAGAAGAAAAGTTTCCTAAAATAAAGCAAGCTGCCAGAAGGCACAGGGGTGTGTAGCAATTTGAAGGGAATTTGAAGGGAAGAACAGTTGTATTGGCAGCAATCAGATATTTAAAACAATCACTGTAGTCAGGCATTGTGTCACATACCTATAATCACTGAGCATTCAGGGTCAACCTGGACTATCTAGTGAGACCCTGTCTCATAAGACAACAAATGGGCCAATGAGATGACTCAGTATGTAAAGGTGATTGCTGCCACACCTGACAACCAGAATTCTGTCCCTGAGCCCCACATGATAGAAGGAGAGAGCCAGCTCCATAAGTTGTCCTCTGGACTCCACTTGTGCACCATGACATGCACGTGCCCACAGACAGACACACGTGCGTGCCTAAGTAGATGAATAAAAGATGCAATAAAAACCTCTTGGAAAACAACCCAAACAAAATGTTATTTAAAAAGAGGGGCCTGGACTTGGGCTGGGCAAACTGTACTGGTGCATGGCTTTAATTTCTGCACTTGGGAGGCAGAGGTGGGTAGACCTCTGTAAGATCAAGGCCAGCCTCGTCTCCATGGTGAGTTCTAGGCCAACTGTTGCTACAGGAGGACCCTGCCTCAAAAAGAAAGAGGGGCTGAGGAAAGGGCTCAGTGAGTAACAGTGCTTTCTCTGTGAGCATGAAGACCTGAGTTCAATCCCAGCATCCACATAAAAGTCAGGCATCCATGTATACCTGTAACCCCAGTGTTGAGGAACAGAGACAAGAGGATCCAAGGGACTCGGTGGCCAGACAGTCTAGCCCAAATGGTGAGCCCCAAGTTCAGGGCTCTTGTCTCAAAAATTGTGGTGATGAGGGACAGGGGAAGATGCCAGTGTCAACCTCTGGCTCCCACATGTGCACACACAGTTGTGCAGACACACAATATATCTACAAAAAATTAAAATTAAGAAAATACACAAATGAAGAACTAAAAAGTTTCACAAGTAGATGAGAACTATAAACATTGACGAATGATAAATGAGCCAGTTTAAATCTAAAATTTTAAGATGTTCCTAAAAAAATGTTTTTCTCATCCTTAACTGCAGAAGAATTTTTCAGAAATAATATCTCATAAGGAAATACAGGTGTTTGGTAATTATGTTATTTTTTTCATTCTTTTGAGACAGAATCTTAGCGTGTAGCCCAGGATGGCCTCAAACTCACAGCCCACTTGCCTTGTCTCCCCTGGGCACTAAGATTACAAGCCACTCAGCACTTTACAAACAACTTTAATTTTCAATACAAAATCAAATTTTAATTTGGTAAGAATATTTTTGGCTGTTTCACCCCTGGTTTGAATTTTTGCAATTTTCTTTTCAATGCAAAATTAATGCACCATTTAATCAACAACAACAACAACAAAAATTTGACATGGTTATACATCTATAATCCTAGCATTAGGAGGAGGAGCCCAGCTGAGGCAGGAGGACCCCAAGTTAGGCCATCCTGTACTATATAGCAAGATCTGCCTTAAAAAATAACAGTTGAAAAACATAAAAGCTTCATGAGGAAATACGTAAAATAATAAAAGAAGCACGTGTTCAGCCAGGGCTCTGATGAGACTTGGCGTAGGCAAGGTGTCCGGTCCACATTCATCCCCTCCAGGTCACTCCTTGTTACCGCCTTTTGGGTTATTTTTGTAGCCTAGTAGCTTTCACTTTGTGATTGCCTGCCTCCTGATTTGTGGGAAGTAGGTAGGGAACTTAATCATCCTCAGGGTGATTACCATTCTTAGCTGCCAGGTTTGTCTGGAGGCACATCATTGACTTGGTTGTGTTCATCTAGAGAGGAAGCCAGCAGGAAAATGGCATTTCATAAAAGAGTGGATCAAAGTTTGAAAGTACTAGTACATTGCCCCCATTATTGGTTAACTGAAATATTTCAGTAGTAAGCTCCCTACCTTTCTGTCCTGATTGTGGTAAATGTATCTATAGTGGAATATATATATATATATATATTCTTTCATTAAGCTAATATATGAGAGATGAGCGTCACAACATGATAGAATGTTTTTATTTGATGTAAATTTTCATCCTCAATAAATGCAAAGTAGCTATTGTAGTGTAGATAGATGTTTTGGTCTAATATGAATTTCAAGTGTGTGCATTGCAACAGTTATTTGAAAATAATGAATTAAAGTATATGACTTTGCTAAAATGGTAATATAAGAATAATTTTTGTTTATATGCCCCAAAATCTTAACAAATGGAAAGCAAACTGAATTGTGACAAATAAGTAATCATTGCTCAGAAGCATAGTAGTTCACAGAACTTGTGGCTTTAAATGCCGACTTGTTTCCAGCACAGCTAGAAATGAGGAATGTCCTTTTTCTTCACTGTAATAAACTGACCTGTCTATCTTTCTGTTTCTTGCCTCTCTACTCATTAACGGCAAGACTAATGCAGTGGATATTTTGTTTAGTTAAAATAGTAATTTTTATTAAACCAAGTGCCATCACAATCTTACAACTTTAATTTTGTTGATGATAACCACAAAATTCACTTTTGTAATTTTCTGTTCATATAATTGCTGTAGGGATGCTTCCTGATTCTGCTGACCTATACGTGATCAGCAAAGATATATTCACTCTAAAATTATTACATAACCTCTCTTTTCATAAGAATGTCAGTGTTACTTATATAGAGACTTGCTGGAGATTGCTGTAAAAGCTTGTGAGTGGTGAGTCAGATGCCCACTGTAGAAAGTCTGACTTGCTCCTCCCTCCACTGGCCAATCTTCTCGGAGTGTGGCATCCACAGTGTCCGTGGTTACGTGTGCAATGGAGAAGACTATTCAGTTATGAAAGATCTAGTTCCATGACCAGGGTTCCTCCAGAAAGGAATGGAGTGTTCTAGAAACATGAACTGTGATCTCTGTGTGAGTGTTGCCACAGGTTTTTATTGGCAACCCCCTGAAAAAGGACAGTGTTAAGATGCAGCTCTGTTAAGAGGAAGCTTTCCTTAAACAACCTTCCTTAACTATCATAGCCCATCATAATAGTAATATTAGTTTTTAAGCAATTATTGGCATATGTACAATATTTACCAACTGGTTTTATTCCTTTTTGTTTTACTAACAGAAATCTTAGAGGCTGGTGTTAAAGGAACTTCCGAATCCCTCAAAGGTGTGAAACGCAAAAAGATTGTTGCTGAGAATCACCTGAAAAAAATACCCAAATCCCCCCTGAGAAATCCTCTTCAGACGAAACACAAACAAAATGTGGAAGCATCATCATTCGCTGTTCCACAGAGTACTTCAGAGTCTCACAAGAAACACAACTGTGTTCCTATTAAAAACAGGAAGCAGCTTACCAGGCAAAATGGGGAGACACCTGGGGTAACTGCTGAGGCCTCAAAATCCGAAGACTCTGCCTCCCCAAACAAGACCTCGTCTCCCCACCATCCGTCAGAACTGCGGAGATGGAGGTCCGAGGGCTCCGACCCAGTCAGGCTCAGTGTCCTTGATGGACAGCGGGACTCAAGCTCCTCACCCAGTCGAAGCAGGACTGACAACAGTGAATGTATTCCTCCTTTTGGTAGCGCCACATCCCCTTCCTATACACGTACCGCATTTGATGTCTTACTGAAGGCGATGGAGCCAGAACTGAGCACCTTGTCACAAAAGGGCTCATCTTGTGCAATGAAGATAGAAAAACTGAGACCAAATAAAACTGCACAGTCCCCTTCTAAAGTAACGAACAGTTCCTTAGATACCCCAGATCACATTTCCCAAGAATTTGTTGCCGTATCACAATGTTCTCCTTGTACCTCACACCCAGTACACGTGGCCTCCACTCTGAAAAATGAGCAAGCGGCAGCTCAGCCTGTATCTCATCCATACATCCCACAAGACCACCTTGTTTCCAAACCTACCCAACACAGTCAGCAGCTTCCAGGGCATTCAGGCTTCACAGGATCGTTGACGAATCTACAAACTCATGAGAACGCCAAACTTGAACCAGTTTATAATATAGCAATGACGTCAACTATAGGTCTCACATCTTCTAGTAGAACTCAGGTTACTCCAAACCAGCAAATGGATTCTGCCTCACCTTTGTCAATAAGCCCTGCCGGTTCCACACAGTCACCCCCAGGGCCAATTTATAATTCAACTCATGTTGCTTCTGTTGTCAATCAAAGTGTTGAACAAATGTGCAATCTTCTTCTGAGAGATCAGAAGCCAAAAAAACAAGGCAAATATATCTGTGAGTATTGCAATAGAGCTTGTGCAAAGCCTAGCGTGCTTCTAAAGCATATCCGCTCCCACACTGGAGAGCGGCCCTACCCCTGTGTGACTTGTGGATTTTCATTTAAGACTAAAAGTAATCTGTATAAGCACAAAAAATCCCATGCACATACTATCAAACTGGGTCTTGTCTTACAACCAGATGCTGGTGGTTTGTTCTTGTCCCAAGAGTCCCCCAAAGCACTTGGCATTCATTCAGATGTTGAAGACAGTGGGGAGAGTGAGGAGGAGAGCGCTGGAGACGGGAGGCAGAATGACCCGGGTGCCATGGATCTACAGCCTGTGCAGATAATGAAGTTATCAAATCCAGAAGCTCTATCCAAATCTGTACCAAGCAATCCAGATCATGTGGTTGGTGGCTTCTCAGCGCAGGACAGACCTTCTGAATCACAAGCCCTGATAGAGTTACCAAAAGTTGTGATCCACCCAGTCACTGTGTCCCCCTTAAGAACTGACAGTCCAAGGGTGGTCAATCCTAAGCCTGAACTTCCTGGCATACAGCGGCAGAAGGACCCTCATGTTGCAAACATACTGCCACATTCAGCTGGTGTGTCCTCTCTAGAGACTGAAGAGAAGGCCCATGAAAAAGGGGACATGAATCAGCCAGAAGGGAAGCAAGATTCTCATGGTGGAACGGCACATGCTCAACTCCAAAGGCAGCAGGCAACGGATGACCCCCAGGAGCAGCAGGGAAAACTGCTCCTGAGTCCTCGGAGCTTAGGAAGTACAGACTCTGGCTACTTTTCACGTTCTGAGAGTGCTGATCAAGCAGTGAGTCCACCGACTCCCTTTGTCAGAAACTTTCCCACCATGGACTCAGACCCAGCTAAGAGCAGCGGACCCCCTGCCCCTCGGATCAGTACCCCAGCACCCTCTGCTTTGCCTACAGGGGAGAAGCCATCGTTCTTACCAGGTCAGATGCGCCCACCCTTGGCAACTAAAACTCTGGAGGAAAGGATTTCAAAGCTAATCTCAGACAATGAGGCGCTGGTTGATGACAAGCAATTGGATAGCGTAAAGCCCCGGAGAACCTCTCTTTCCAGACGAGGAAGCATTGACTCCCCCAAATCATACATATTTAAAGATTCATTCCAGTTTGACCTAAAACCAATGGGACGGAGAACCAGTTCCAGCTCTGATATACCAAAGTCCCCATTCACCCCTACTGAGAAGTCAAAGCAAGTGTTCCTCCTGTCTGTTCCTTCCCTAGACTGCCTGCCTATTACAAGAAGTAACTCCATGCCAACGACAGGGTATTCAGCAGTCCCTGCGAGTATCATTCCTCCCCCTCACCCTTTGAGAGGAAGCCAGTCATTTGATGATAAAATCGGCACCTTCTATGATGATGTCTTCATGCCAGGACCCAACACTTCCATCCCCACAAGTGGACACCACCATCCGCTGGTCAGGCAGGCAGCAGTGGAAGATGCTTCAGCCGTTGAGAATCATGTTCTGGGTTCTGGGCAGTATGTGGATGAGAGCTGTCAGGGATGCCCAGCCACCAATGAGTCGGGGCCAGCCCGGAGCAAAGCAGCTCAAGCCCCTCACCTGGAGAAGAAGAAGTCTCATCAGGGCCGAGGGACCATGTTTGAGTGTGAAACTTGTCGAAATAGGTACCGAAAACTGGAGAATTTCGAGAACCATAAGAAATTTTACTGTTCAGAGTTGCATGGGCCCAAAACAAAGGTAGCTGTGAGAGAGCCTGAGCACAGCCCTGCAGCTGGTGGGACACAGCCCCAGGTTCTCCACTACAGAGTTGCAGGTCCCACGGGTGTGTGGGAGCCGACATCCCAGATAAGAAAAAGGAGGAAGATGAAGAGTGTGGGAGACGATGAGGACCTGCAGCCACGCGAAAGTGGGACTTCTCCAAGAAGCTCCGAAGGCCTTCAGCTTCAGCCCACCCTGGGCTCTGCACCCAGCCCATCTAAACACCCCACTGCCATGACAGGTGACCAGGTACACAGAAGCATCCAGCTGCAGAGCTCTCAGGTTCAGCTTGTTCCCCGGGGCCCAGAACAGGCCCTGGACCTTAAGCCATGTCCCATGGTTGAGCCACAGCCTAGTTTGGCGACCCAGGAGAAGGTAGAGGTAAAGAGACAAGGGTCTGGCGTCTCTGTCATCCAGCATACCAACTCCCTGAGCAGGCCCAGTTCACTTGACAAGCTGGAGCCTCTGGAAGGCGGTGCCGCCATCTCTTTCCAGGAGCCGAGTAGAACCGGAAAAGCTGGGGCTCTGCAAGTGGTGGGAATCTCCCCAGAGGAAGGTCACCCAACTCGGGATGCCATGCACCTTCACCAGCCTACACCATCAGACGCCCTTAGAGGAGAGTTCCAGGAAAGTTCCCGAAAGATTCCAAGTGAGCGTCATGTGTTAGGACAGCCCTCCAGGCTTGTCCGGCAGCACAACATCCAAGTCCCAGAAATCCTGGTGACTGAAGAGCCGGATCGAGACCTGGAAGCCCAGGGTCATGATGAGGAAAAGTCCGAGAAGTTCAGCTGGCCTCAGCGTAGTGAAAGCTTGTCAAAGCTGCCAACAGAGAAGCTACCACCCAAAAAGAAGAGGCTGCGGCTGGCAGAGATGGAGCATTCCTCCACTGAGTCCAGCTTTGATTCCACGCTCTCCCGGAGCCTCAGCAGGGAGAGCAGCTTGTCCCATGCGTCCAGCTTCTCAGCCTCTTTAGACGTAGAGGACATTTCTAAAGCAGAGGTGTTCCCCAAAATTGATTTTCCAAGTAAAGCAGAGTTTCTTTCTATTCCACCGGGCTCAAATACACTGAGTGTCCCTGGAAGTCACCGGGAAATGAGGCGTGCTGCATCGGAGCAGATCAGTTGCATGCCCACATTGATGGAGGTCTCCGATTTCAGAAGTAAATCGTTCGACTGTGGGAGCATGACTCTGCCCCAGGCAGCAGCACTTGTTGAATCACAGCCTTCCACATCCCTTTCCAGTGTAGGGGGCACTGGACACGTGCCTCTTTTAGAAAGGAGGCGAGGCCCCCTGATCCGGCAGATATCTTTAAACATAGCTCCCGATAGTCATCTGTCTCCTGCCAACCCATCTTTCCAAAATATTGTCCTTCCCTGTGTGAACACAGTGCCATTCCAGGGTCCTAGGCTCTCTGACCCGTCTCCGGTTGAGTTTCCTGCACACACCTTGCACTCCCGGACGCCAGCTAAAGATCTACAGGCAGAAATGTCAAGTTCCAGCTCTACTGACATCTTTGCTCCTCAACAGCTTTTTGGCATCAACTTGTTAAATCAAACCCCTACACCCCTTAGTCACCAAAACACACTGCTGCCTCTGCCACCGTCTGCACAGGATGTCAAAGCAGGTGCGCATCCCATGGTGTGTGCGTCTTCTGCAAACCAGGACTGCTTTGCTCCCAAGTACCAGCTTCAGTGTCAGGCTTTCACTTCTAATCCTCTGAATCCTTTGCCTAATCAAGTTCTTCCAGATTCAGCTGGAGCAGGTCAGTGTGTGGTTTCAGTAGCACCATCAACCAAACTAGTAGATCCCGAGGCTAAGCCGTGCCCTCGGCCAGCACTGGCACTTGTGCCACCCAGTAATGAGGTGCAGAAGGGGCTGTCTTCCTTCCTGCTGCCCATGCACCAGCACAGTGATGTCGCCATGTATTGCTTTGCCGCTGTCACCTCCCTGCCACAAATCTTAGTGACCCATGATCTGTCCAACACGCCAGTTTGCCAGACTAATCAAAGTGTAGTGCCAATCAGCGAAGAACAAAATTCCATGCCAGAACCACACAACCGTGTCCAGGATGCATTGCCAACACCAGAGAAAGAACTTGCATGCAAAAGTGTTCTCTCAGGGCTGGGCCAAAATGCTTCTGTTTCGGATTCCTTGCCCGTAATTCAGAAGATGTCTGTTGGTAGACTCTCCCCACAGCAAGAATCTTCAGCTTCAAGTAAAAGGATGCTTTCCCCAGCAAACAGTTTAGACATTGCCATGGAAAAGCACCAGAAGCGAGCTAAAGATGACAGCGGAGCTGTTTGTGCCACAAACATGAGACCCTCGGAGCCACCAAGCTCCAGAGCTAGCGAGGGCGCTAAGCAGAGGAAGCCAGTGTTGGTGAGGCAGCTTTGTACTACAGAGCCCCTCGAAGGAGTGATACTGGAGCAGGATGCTCTTTCTCAGTCTGAAAGTAACAAGGAGCCTGGGACTGCTAATTTGACACCAGGACCCTCCAAGTTTATAGTCACAGAACCTGTCAGTGAACTGCAAGAGTCTGAAAGCTCCAAGTCATCCATGTCTTTGACGCTTCCAGTGCAAAATTCACCTGTCCCTTCAGAAAGTGTCCCTGTTTCGCCTTTGAAATCTTCAGACAGTAACAAGGAAAGGGGGTCCCCAGGGGTTAAAAATCAAGGTGACAAGGTGGGCATCCAGGGGCAGAGTCAGCTCCTGACTCCTGGCCTTTCACTGTTCAGCAGTGCAGACACGCAGCAGCCATCATACCCCAGCCTCAAGACTGCAACGAGCTTTACTTGGTGTTACCTGCTAAGACAGAAGTCATTGCCTTTGCCTCAGAATGACCAGAAAATTTCAGCCTACACCGAGTGGACAGTGAGCGCCAATAACCCAAATCCACTTGGTTTGCCTACAAAAGTTGCCCTTTCCCTCCTTAATTCAAAGCAGAAGACTGGAAAATCACTATATTGTCAAGCAATAACCACCCATTCAAAATCAGATTTATTGGTCTATTCAAGCAAGTGGAAAAACAGCTTAAGCAAGGTACTTGAAATATAATTTATCTTCAAGTGTGGTTTGTGTCAGTTTCAACATATCTTGATACTTTCAGTGTCAGTATTTTAATTCTGAATGGCAAGTTGTACTGTGTGATTATTAGAGAGGAGCCTGACATGTTCTCCCTGGGAGTTACACTGTACAGTGTGCACTGATTCTACCTAAGTCTTTTGTGTGCAGTACCTTCCCTGGGTACTGATTGGCTGGTTTTGATTTACCCCTCAGTTAACTGTGGTAAGTCTCGGTGAAGTGGGAGTTATCTATTTGATCTTTCTCTTTACTGAGGAGTTAGCTGAGAGGAGATCCTGGTCATGCTCTGTGGAGCAAATGCAGGGCCATCGTAGCTGTGAGTAATCAGAGATGACTGTTCTGTCTTGAACTATACAGAGTCAGTCACATGGCCCCCTGCCCCTTTTACGATGCTCTGCTTTCTCCATGCCCTTTGTACCTGTTCCTCTGAGAGCCATTAGGATGGCCAAAAAGATTTGAAAAAGAACCCATACACTCGATGAGTTCATGTGGTCAAGATCTATCGTATAATTTAACATCATGAAACCATAACAATGAAGTGATTTGTGGAATTCTCATTAGAATAGTTACCTTTAGAAAATAGGAAAAAAATCATTTAAGTGATTAAATAGATAAGAGTATCATGGTAGGCTCTGGTTATTCAGAATTACTGATGAACTCTTTGACCTCTGCAGATTCACATAATACACACTCATAAACACTGATGAAGCTGTCAGTAAGAGAATATTTCAGGGCCAATGTTGAGTATAAGTCTTTATAGTTGTATTTATTTTATTTTTTTTAAATTTTATTATTTTTATTTTATGTGTATGCATGTATTGCCTGCATGTAGGTAAGTGCACCCATGTGGTGCAGTGCTCGAGGAAGTCAGAAGAGGCTGTTGGATCCCCTGGGACTGGAGTTACGGACGGTTGTTAGCTGCCATGTGGGTGCTGGGATTTGAACTCAGGTCTTCTGCAAGAACAACCAGTATTCTTAACCGCTGAGCCATCTCTCCAGCCCTAGTCTTTATAGTTCTAAAAGAAGGAAATGTCTAATACTGGCATTAGACAAAGGAGCTGTGGGTATAGAAGGTACTCCAAAGGTGGTGATCCTTTAGCTGAGTTGATGATGGTAATTATAATAGACCTTTCCTCCACAGTCTAGAGGAATCTGTAGATGCTATTTCATTCTCTTAAAACTCATCTTGAGGCTGAGCATGGTGGTACACACCTTTAATCCCAGTACTAGGGAGGCAGAGGCAAGCAGGTCTCTGATTTCCAGGTCAGCGTGGTCTACATAGCAAGTTCCAGGCCAGCCAGGGCTACACAGGGAGATCTGTCTTAAAACAAGGAAACACAAAAAGATAAAGGGAAAGTTGATACTGAATTTGGCATTGAAAAGAAGTTATAAAAAAAAAAAGTGATTGTTAAAGGGGAAAGTTAGGCAATGAGTGTGTGTATTCTACTTTGTGGAGAAGCTGGGCTGTTGCCTCCTAGGAAGAGGAAGGAAGCAGGTGAGCAGTATCGAAATCGCCATGCTCCCTTTCTAAAGAACTTTGGCCCACAGCCTTTCTTTCCACCTGCCACTGTCAGAACCCGGTCTTCCAAGTACTTCATCCAGGCAGCACAGAATTCCTTCCATGATGTACTCTCCAGTATTGCTAAGTCACTTTGTATGAAAGAAGCTCTTAATGACAGAAGCTGTGTCTCTTGTTGGATTTGGCCAAAGAATTGGAGCCTTTGCTGTTCACAGCTGACCTTGACAAACTGCTGCAGCCCTCTATAAAACTAGAAGGTGATATTTCCTCTAGGACTACTATATATTTTTATGTTCGTTACTCTTTTCCAAATATTTTATTATTATCAGGCCAAACTCTGACTCATCTGGCTTGGCTCTCATAGTGACCAGTATTCAGGGACCTTTTGAGAACTATTCTAAGGAGAAACCATGTTATAGTTCAAAGTAATGTGGTGGGAGAAGGTTCGAGATTTGGAAGTGGAGCTTCTGCTTTGCCTTTGTGGTGCTCCCAAGTTGAAGGGGATTCAGTGATGTTTCTGAGTGGCCTGAGACAGTATTCTGCCCAGAAGTAACTAGTTCTTTGTCATCTCCAAGGAAAAAAATTTTTAAGAAAAGACTTAAACTATATGACAGTGGTTGGTGAAGTAGCAGAGGGCCTATTTAGTTTGCTGAAGATTTCTCCCAAGGAGGGAGGATTATTTGAGCATGTCAGGGACTGTGGTATAAATACCAGGAAGCAAATCAATTTGTTATGGTTTAGATGGGAGAAGAGAAAGCACATGGCCTTGAATTCTGCTACCTCTTTAAAATATATTACATTGAGGCAACTACATGCTCTGTGCTTCGCTGTGCCTTAATTTCCAGGGAAACATCATCAGTTTAATAAAATGAGTTTCTCTTTTTGTTTTTCCCTTTCAGAGAGCATTAGGTAATCAGAAGTCCACAATAGAATTCAGCAATAAAGATGACTCTGAAATTAACAGTGAGCAAGATAAAGAAAACTCCTTAATCAAAAGTGAACCAAGAAGAATTAAAATATTTGATGGAGGGCAAGTACATATTTTATTCTTAAATGTACATTTAAACTCATTTTAAATGTACATTTGCTGTCATGAGTGAAGACTTGTCAGTGCCAATTTTATTTAAATGTTACAGGATTTCTTAACTTACTAATATAATCTTTCTGACAAAAAAATGTTAGTATTACATTAAATAATTCCATTTTGATAGAGAAAATGACTAGAAAACATTGTAGAACCTGAAGGCAGCTAAGAACTGAGTGAACCCTAGGCTTCACACTGACCTGCAGTAAGAGATGACTTGGTGCATGGTGGCACAGCGTTTAATTCCAGCTCTGGGGAGGGAGATGCTGGCAGGTTTCTGTGAATTCCAGGCCAGCCTGGTCTACATAGTGAGTTCCAGGCCAGCCTGGGCTACACAGTGAGCTGCTGCCTTAAAAAAAAAAAAAAAAAGGATGAGAACTGAGTTTATTGCCTATTGGTTGTCTTTTAGTATTTTATTATGAGAAAACAAGTTGTAAGAGCCAGTCTGAGGTAGACTGAAACTCAGAACTATTTCAGCATTTATAGTCACTGTGATTGAATTTAGCAATGAAAAAAAACTTTCAATCTAGTGTCTTAAATTTGGGAAAATATTTAAAAATTAACCATCATATTGAATGACTGAACAGAATTGGCTGTTAGAGCATTAAGTATGATAATGAAGATGGACGTGTTCTGTTTCTTATATATGCATTAAATTTTTGTAGGTTGTATATCAAAATTGTGCTTTATTTTTGAGATTGAATTTTAACCAATATTTTCTCAGATAATGCCCAATTTTCCTATTCTTGTTTTTTTTTTTTTTTCTGTAAATTAGATATAAGTCAAATGAAGAGTATGTATATGTCCGAGGCAGGGGAAGAGGAAAGTACATTTGTGAAGAATGTGGAATACGTTGTAAGAAACCTAGTATGTTAAAGAAACACATCCGGACGCACACAGATGTTCGCCCCTACCACTGTACATACTGTAACTTCTCCTTTAAGACTAAAGGTATGAAATGCATATTGCTGTGGTCCTTTCTGTTTGCATTTAGGCCAGAAAGCCAGCACCCAGCCTCACATAGTATTTTTCCAAGTCTGAGTAGCTTCAGTGGACCAAGTTACATCTGTCAGTGCTATAGCCTTGTTTCTATACCCTTCAGGGGAAATGTTTTCAATGGCAGATTTTGTGTGTGTGTGTGTGTGTGTGTGTGTGTGTGTTTGTGTGTGTGTGTGTGTATGTATACATAATATATGTGTAAATGTAATATTTTAAATGGATCAACTGCCCCTTTTTACATTTTACTTTCCAAATTATAGTTACAAAACACGATACCTAACATGTTTCAAGATACTTAGTTTGTACTGAAGAAAAAAAATTTTGTGACCACAAATAAATTCATTTGAGTCCTAAAAAAAGGATTTAAATAATAATTACAGCAGACTTAGAACCATTACACTTACAGCCGTTGAAGGCTAAGGCTAACAACCAAAAACTGAAAATTTCTACTAGTACATGCTTTTTAAAGAGCTCTCAGAACTAGTCATTAAAATTGTATTTAGTATCCTTCTGTACTATGTTTTTATTTAATCCTAAGCCTTTATGATGAAGTAATTTTACTCTGTACAAATTTTGTCTTATATATAAAATGGGCATACTATTATAAAAAATTTTCTCCTTATTCATGAATTATCACATAACAATCCATTAAAATTCTAATTTCATATACTATTCTCTAAAAAGTAAGACTTTCTTGAACAATGCAATGGTATTAGGGGGATACCTGACTGACATAGCAATATTGCTAAACATAACCATTTTTACATAAACTATATTCTTTTTGATTTTACATTTTTTTGTTAGATTGATTGTCTTCACAGTTTTTGGTAAAGATTACTCATCTCTTTAGCCAAATTTACTACATTTTTGGCCAGTATTTATTGCCATTTAAAGAAAGTTATAAGGAACAACTGCATAGCTTCAGATCAGCTCTTTTCAAGTGATGTCTGAAATAAGAGTGACAGAAACAAAGCGCTCTTCAGATCGCTTTGAATAGTTCTAGACTGCTTTAGGCAATCCAAGAGGCTGAGGAAGCCTCACTTAGGTGTTCTTTCCTCATGATGCAGACCCTTCTCCTGCTGGAGTTGGGGCAGGAGGCAGAAGTCAGAGTGATTCCTCAGTCTTGCATGAAGTCTAGGATCTTTTAACCCAGTTTACTGCTCTTTCATTGGTTTGATTTAAGAGCTGTTAGCTTACAGTGTGAGATCAGGAACATTTAAAAGGCTAACATTACTAATAGAAGATTACCATGTACAGAGTAATATTTCAAATACAAGAAGATCAAGGTATAACGTGAAATGAATAGTTATTTATAGAAGGAAGAAACCATCCTATAGAAAGTACAGTAGTGAAGGAACAGAAGACAGGACAGTTTAGAAGTAGAAAACCAAGTGAAATTACAGTGATTTCTTAGGAAGGAAAAATATATGCATCCTAAGTCTTGACCACAGTGAAGTAACCCAAAACATCAAGGAAGTCTTAGGTAATGCTGAGCAGGTGCTAGTCCAAGTCACCTGTTGGCAGCTTTCCTGTTCTGTGTTTCCCTGTTTCTCTAAGTCCATGCTGCATAACTAAATTCACATCAAATGTTGTCAGTAAGTCATGTAGAATTGCATGATATGTATTTGAGGCTATCCTAGGTAAGGGGACTGGTGAAAATAACAAATTTAGGAGTTCTCTCTTAGCACCATAGTTGTCATTTTTAGGTTCAGATTCCTCTCCAAAGTCTGTTCTTTCTGAATCTGTCTAAAGCAGATCTCATAGCACCTTTTAAAGGGAGCTAAATAACTGTAGATCCTTTTATTTTCCTTTTCAGTGGAGAGATAGATTCTGCTCAACTTCTTTTTTTAATCCAGCTTATCCAACTGTTTCTTACTGGATGTGTCTGACTTTCCACGGGAGAAAATAGTAGTGCCATGGCATGCTCCAAAATGTACACAAATATAGCAAAACATTGTCAAGGAATCTTCTGTAGTGGTTAGAGCTTAGGCTTCTGGTGCTAATGCTTGTGACTCTATAACTCATCATTTGCCCTTTTGGTTTATTTCATGAGTACATTTTCAAAGCAGTTTCAATTGATTATTTCCAGGATTCTTTAAAGATCAGTCAACAGAAAATACTTGCTGAGCTTGCATCTCTGCAAGACTGCCCCATTTATACCACAGAAAGTTAGACTTGTGTAGCTCTGGGATCAGAAACAGCCTCTTATGCTTTCCAAATATTTCAGATAAATGTTTCAGTCTACCAGGAACATCCCCATTACAGTAAAACATATGGTTTATTACATTGTAGTAGATAAGTGAATTTAAGTATGCACATCCTGCACATGTAAATGCATGTGTTTTAAATTATTGAGGAAGTTGATTAATGATAATAGCTCAAGTTGTGAGAAGATATTCATATTAAAACTTAAATTTGCAAATTTGTCTAGGTACAGTTATATATCAGCTTCTTAGAAAGCAGATTAACTTCTATCTGGCTGTCTATCCAGAGAACCAAAGCTGTTTTGAAAATTAACTGTTAGTGGACCTTTTAATTTGTTTTATAATACTGTTATTACTCTGAAAGCATTTTGACTTACAAGTAGAAGTCTCAGCTACTGTAGAATGGCTTAAGCATTTAAAACTATTTAAATGTGAAAACTTTCAAGTTCATTCAGAAAAGTAGAGATTTGTATAATAGACACAATGTGCCCATG